TCTGCCAATGTTTCTGTCACTCATGTTGTGCTTCATTTCTCTTTTTCTTATTGCTCTGCCCTTTTCCCACATCCCCCAACTCATCAAATCAATCCTCCTATGGTATGCTTCCTGCCTAAAGGAGGTTCTTGCCTCCATGGGGTGAGAGGGGGAATGGACCCCATAACAGTATAATAATATAGTTTTATTACATACTAAGTCCCTGAGAGCAGGTTTGATTAAAAGAATGACAAACTTCCAACGTCAACAATCTCTTTACTTTGGCTGTTATCTGTGGTTGGTTTGCACCATTTCCTCCCGTTTGACACGTTCTCTTGAAGGCTCGGTAGAGTGGAGCACTTAAGACATGAAAGCTTCGCTGCTGATATCACTTTTCCTCCAAAAAATGTAGAGTAGCTGTTTTGTTGGAATTCCCATCTTCTCATTATACCGGTTTAAATCTGATACATCTAAATATGAATTCCATGTCCAAAGCGGATAGACAGCATATGTTTTTTGGATTAAAATGCTTCAAGCAGAACAGAAAAACACCCATTGCACTGACATAATTTATGCCGTTCAAGGTTCAGTCAAATGCTTCCTCTCTTTTCTTTCTCCACTTTCATTGTTTGGGTCAGTTTTGTGCCTTTGCGACTTCCACTGCCATAATAGCCAGATGCACAATCTGAACCAAAATGCAGACCAGGACTCATGGATCTGCTCCCAGTTTAACCTTTTGTTTTTGCATTTAAGGCTAACAAGAAGCCTCAAGGTTTGTTAAACAATGCCTGCACTCCTGATAGTGGAGCAAACTCCCAATTTCATAAATGAGAAAATTGTGGAGGAGATTTGTGGAGCACAGCAGAAATGTGTTCAGCTAGCACACAAACCCAATCTCCCCTCAAAGGCTGTGTACCAGAAAGTGTAGCAAAGCACGATGAAATCCAACTTAACAGTCGATCAGATATGCCTCATAAGTGAAAAAGGTTTTATACATCTTTCTAATAATAACAACAACAGGTCATGCCATTTAACTCAGGAGTCATCAGCTTTCCTTTTCCATATTCACATTCCCATATGAAGTGGGACTTTATTCTCGTCTTATTTATTTATTCATTTATTTTTTATTCTTCCCTTTTTATGGAGCAACGCTCTATCTGTAATGAATCTCTGCTTTGGTAATCATATTTTAGTGCAGCTGCACTGTGAAATGAAGGCGGATGGTGTGTGTTGGTCCGGAAAAAACAGGTTTACTGATAGCACTCTTGCTTTTAATTTTTTTTTGTCAATGTAAATGCTTTGCAAAACTTTTCAACCATATGTGTATCTTTGCAATGTGAAAAAGCCAGGTCAGGGATTGGATCACCTCATCTTCCAAGGGTGACACCTCAACGGGCTTAATTCCAAAGATTTTTTCATTCTATGACCGATTTGGTGTGTGCACATAGAACAGGTGAGCAGCTTTTACTGCCAGAGGGAAACACACTAAAGGGAAATATCCGTATTTGGCACTGTTTTGATGAAATAAGCAAGGTCTTCCATTTAAAACTTTCTTTACTCTTTACAGTCTATACATTTGTCTTACAATAATGACATGCTGTCCATTCCACAATTAATTGATTAATCCAACAGTAGAAAGTGTCATGACTTTGAAAACTGGATTCAACTTGCTATTTCCAGTTTATTAAATGTTTTCATTGTTTTAAGACCAATGGAACACAATCCATCTGAGTTCAAATGAAAATAAAAATCGGACTGGCATGAAAACATTTCATAGAAACCATTCTGTCGACTTTCAGACTTTCAGGCTTTAGCAGCTAGCCTTCTCATCCTGCATAGCATTAAATTTTCATCTATGATAAATATAATGCTGTGTGGTGGTTAGCACCATCGCCTCACAGCAAGGGGGTTCTGGGTTCAAGTCCCTAGTGGGGACCCGGGTTCTCTCCGGGTTCTCTGGCTTCCTCCCACCATCCAGAAACCTGCATGTTAGGTTGATTGGACATTCCAGATTGCCCTTAGGAGAAAGTATGAGTGTGTGTGGTTGTTAGTTCTTGTGTGTCTCTGTGTGGCCCTGTGATGGACTGGTGGACCGTCCAATGCCCATTGACCAGTGGGATAGGCTCCATTAGGGAATAAGCTGTTCCGAAAATGGATGGATGGAAATATAACGCTGAGAAAACTTTTAAATGAATGCATGACTTATCAGGCCTAAAACACACAGCTGAGGATCTCATCACAAACCTTTACGAGACTTCCTCACCTCTCAGTCAGCTACGTTTTGTTATTGTAACACAGCCACTCTGACATGGGCTGTCTATAAGTGTCAGCGGGGTGCGGATTAGCTATCCATCACTGGGCAAAAACAGGCCAGCGACACCAACAACCACTCCGCTAAACTGTGAATTCGCACTCACTTATTAATCTATCGTGCCTTTTTTGGGGGGCTTCAAAGAAAATAGCTCGTGCTCTAACGAGCATGAAGAGAGAACCAACCACTTCTGGAACCTTCTTGCTAGCTGTGGCGGCATCCACATAATCAAGCGGCAAAGCGTGAAGCAGTCATGCCACAGAAGTTTTTATGTGCAGATCCAGATCTTGTTTGGTTTGTGAGTACGGCACATTTTCACGTGTTTATCAAAGGGTTGGACTTGTCAGATTTTAACCCAAGAAACAAAACTTTGGCACAGGCTAACTCTGGAGGTGCATTCAATCCCACAAAAATAGCATGAATTCTTATTATAGACATAAATCTACATTTACAGGACTTTTTCACATGCAATGCCCATCATATTACAAAATACATCATTTAATTGACCTGTAAATACAAATACACAACAATCTGTTTTACACACATCTTCCTCACATGTTGAGAAAAAGAAGAAACATTAACACAAATTCAGCAGCATCTCTTCATCTTCACAAGGGAAGTTTTAATCTCAGTCTGTATCATCCTTTGGAAAAAAAGCCACATCAGCAAGTCTTATTTCATGCTGCCTTTTCCGTTTCAATAGAAGTGAGATGTATCAAAGAGATTGCATTCATTATAGCAAGTGCAGAAAGTTCCAGATTGTTTCTGCGTGAACTGAAGAAATGATTGACCATTTCACAATTCAGATGTGGTAGATACTTAAACTGTGAGTGCTGGTTTTACTTTGGATGTAGTTTCATAAATGTATTTAAATGTTTCAGCTGTAATAAAGGAAATTAGGAATTTTTAAAAATGATTGTTAGAATCGTATCAATGTTGGACGAGCCCAATGGAACCAAAACATGCATCTATATGAGTTCTAATTCATGTTGAACATAGATTATTTGCATTTTTTCTAAAGAATTAAAAAAGCAAATGCAAAAGAAATGAAAGTAATGACAGAATACTGCACTGTATTGAATTATTTCAAGGGACTAAAGCGGTAAATGATTCACCTATCACCTCCCACTGCCACTGACAGGGGTTGGTCCAAGTCAAATGCAAAGTCAGAATGTGTGTGTTTGGAGGCAGACCTGCTTTCCATTGTCTAAGCAAGACAGAACAATAGCCCCCTTTATTTTTGGAGCAGGCTCATAATTAAAGTCGAGGAGAACGACTGCTGGCATCTGAATTACACAGGACGACTTAAAAACCCTCTATTAGTGAGCTTGAAGACCTCATTTGTACAAGAGGATCATTCTGAGGAACAGACATGGGTCAGCTAACGTCCGGGTGATTGCTAAATGCAGGCCGTGTCACATCGGCACGTCTCTCAGCCCATAAACTTCTGTTCCCATATGTGATTTCAGTTAAATCCCCAGTTTGATCCATTGCGACTGTTCTGGGAATTTCTGTTTCTCTGCCTGTTGGTTTTATTGTTATCATTTTCCTTTCTTCTTAATAAACATGTAATTTGGGCTGTGATTGATGGCCGCTATCGCATTCCCTCATTCCTGGTTGCTGTTTCCAATGGCTAAACCAGCCTGTGTTCTCAGCCCCGTGGTCCTCATAAAAGTGACGGGCTAACAGCGAAGGCCCCATTCGACCAAGTGAGTTCATCTCTGCGTGTCCTCCTGTAATTCCCATCATTGCCCTGGACTCCAGGCACTCACGTCCTCAAACCTGTCCGGTCCCCCCCTCACCCCCTTTGTGTTCCTCCATACACACACTTTTTTTGTGCATCATTGAAAACAATTACAAAAAGGTTTATGAGAAAGATGTAAGAGGGACATACTTTTGTCTAGACTGAGGAAGTGATGTAACAGGCGTATTAGTACACAGCGGTCAGTGAGCGGCATGCTTCTTGGGCTGTACACTGCCAGAAAGTCATACCAGGGTTCTCAGAATTGTAAATCTCTCATGTGTTCTCGTCACTAAGTTTTCAGTTGCATGTTTAATCCTCACCTTTCATTTGTTCTTTACTGGTTACTTTGATACAACAGAGCAACAATCTTTCCTTTGTCTTCTTGTTTTCTTACTCTAACCTATTAGAATAGGCACTCTAACTTCCTGGTGGGAGGTCAGATTTCACCTCAAGTTCCACAAACCTCCAAACAAACACTATTTTTACACTCTGTCTTATGTGTCTTATGATAACATCAGAATAATGCTACCTTTGGGGAAATGTGACAGACACCGAGGCTCCTCTTAGAAAAGCCATGGCTTTGAAAATGAAATATCAACTCAGATCTTTGAAGCCGTGAGTGAAGCCACATAAGCATCAGTGGATAAATTATGACCAATTATATTACAGCTCACTACACTGCTTTGATTTATCCCTGGGCTTGCAGCATTTAAGTAAATTACAAGTTAACTTGCGGTCCCTCACTTAAGAAGTGGTTTTTTATGTGATGTAAATTTATGGAAATGCGAGTCCAGGCCAGATTATTTATGATACAAAGCATGTGCAGGGAAATTCATCTCGTCCCTCTCAAAAAATCAGGCTTTAGAAACTAGTAATGCAGTGATGAAACTACCGCGCCAATACTAAATGACTTATTTATTCTGAAATAAAAACCGCTCCTCTGCTGTGACCTATCGTTTGCTCTGAAGACGACAGCAATATCCTGAGTTAATACGCTTCACAGCCTTATCATTTGCATATGCAAACTACTCACTTCCTTTCCTGCCTGATACAGGGGCTGAAATCATCAGTGAGCCTCGTGCAGCTTCTGCTTTCTACCGCAGCCACAGGACTGTCATCTTCAGCATGTTTCCTCTGGGGATGCTTGTGCTGACTCTCCTCAGCGAAGGTGAGTTAAGGAGCTCATTTCCTCACAATACGTGTCTATACATACATATGACATGTATATAAAGACTTTAGTAAGTAATGAAAACTTTGTTTTCCGAAGTGTAACTTATTTTCATGGCTCTGTTGTGCTCCTTAAGTCCAAGCGGGGAGAATCATTGGGGGTCATGAAGCCGTGCCACACAGCAGGCCCTACATGGTTCTGTTGGGGATGTACAAGTTCGATGGTGAAAAATCATGGTGCGGTGGATTTCTCCTGAGTGAAGATTTTGTGATGACCGCAGCTCACTGCCAAGCCAAGTCAGTTCGACTCATTTTCAGCCGTAAACCCGTCAAAGTTAGGGGCGTTGTTTAAAAATCACTGGCTGATGCCATTTAGTTTGAATCTATTTCTGCTTTAATAAGGTTTTTATGTTGACTTTCCATGACAGGTCCTACAAGGTCTTCTTAGGACTTCACAATTGGCACAAATTGAATGATGAGGTGCAGCAAATACCTGTGGAACAAGAATTTCCACATAAAGACTACAATCCAGATGGATACGTGCATGATGTAATGCTTTTAAAGGTGAAAATACGCACAAACAGAGAAAATTAAATGCTTTCTGTTTCTTCTCAACTTCTTTCTTAATCCTTTATTTGCACATTTTTCCTTTTAAATTATCCCTGCAGTGCTGGATTTACTCATGTCGGTTTGAACTAATGAGGTCATTTATATTGATGAAATTAAAGTTTGCTCAATATTTGTGCTCATACTCTGTATTTGTTCCTGTTTCTTCAAGTTGGGCACCAAGGCAAAGATCAACGACCACGTGAGGACTATTGCTCTGGCCAACGGAGACGATGGCTCTCTGCCCAAATCTTGCATCGTCTCCGGCTGGGGGCGGATGGAATGGGCAAACCAAATGATGTCTCCCAAACTCTTGGAAATCAATGTAACTTTGATCGACGACGAGAACTGTGCAAAGGAAAACTCCTACTGCTCCACTGGAATGACCGGGCCGGGTCAGGTACGTGTGTTTTTTGCAGCTTGACACGTTAAAACAAACTCTTCCCCCGCTCAGTGTGACTGATACTGTGCGTATTGTCTTAGGGGGACTCGGGAGGCCCGTTGGTATGTGAAGGTGTGAAGGCCTACGGAGTGGTGTCCTCCATGTTCGAGCCGCGATCAGACGGCATGCCGCTTTATAAGTTTGCCAAGATCTCTGACTACAAAGACTGGATCATCTCAACCATGAAAGCGGCTTTTATGTAGATTTGTATGAAGGAACGTTTTACACTTTGTATAACATTAGACAATGTTCAGAGTCAGCTTGTGTCAGCTGCCAGGCTTATTCTATGCTTTTTGCAGTGACAAAAATATACAAATGTCATCATATGAAAGTTGATTCCTTTGAATGTTTTGATGTTTTTCTCCTAACTTTGTGTGACATATAAGTTCTTAACCAGTTAACCACTAGCTTCATATTTTATACACGCCACTGCTGAATGCTTGGCTTGAACAAGCCACTGGTTGCACACCATTTACGTATCTTATATCTTATCTCAATGCCTACCAAGATTACTTTATTCCTTGTCATACTGATTCACAATCCATTGCCAATTTTCTTTTTTAAATAAACTTGTGCATTCCCTAAACAGTCTCAGCGCTTTATTTTTCAGCATTACTTGGCTCAACTAAAGAGACAACACTGCCTCCCTGTGGAAAATTGACATCATTGCATCCACTGCTTCCTGGAGTCACTGAAATTTTATACTTAAGGGCTTCAAACATCTGTGTTTTTTTTTGTTTTTGTCTAAAAGCCTGATCGACATGCTCTTTGACCCCCGTGGGAGCATTTGTAAAATACATTTGCAGGGGGTAGTTGTACACATTTTCTGGCCAAACCCTAACACAACCACTGGGAGATGCAAACAGCTGATAAACCTTAAGAACTGGGTCTTCAGCTGAGAAACTACAAGAAAGAAAAAATAAAAAAAACTCTGGCAAGTTATCTTGATTTGATTGTGAAACATGATGAAATATGTTGATTATAAATATATATTTTTTACTTAGCACTTGCAGAAGGCCTCATTAAAGCAGAAAGAGGCTGAAGCACGATGACATAACGTGGCAAAGGCAACACTTTTTATATAGAAATGTATCATAGAAAACACTTTTCGTACTTTATTAAAAGCAACCCAGTTCACTTAGAGTTGATCAGTGTCAGGTCTTCTTCTGTAGTATTTCAAAATCAAGCGGAGGATGTGGTTAATGATACCTATCTGCTGTTCTTGTTAATTACGAGCAGGATCAAAGATGGAGTCTAACTAAACCTAAACCAAACCACAAAAACAACTGCTATGTAATGACTTCAAATGGATTAAAGTTGAATAAAAGAAATGCCTCAGATGATGGGAAAAGATAGGCGCAGAGTCAGTAATGCATAAAAACATACATTATAAATGATGAAACAGGAAAAACTCCAAAGTGGGAGGTCATCGCTTAAGTTTAAAAAGATTGTATTAAAAAAATGCATCCACAAACTGCTGCTGTGCAATAGGGAAAGTGCAGGTATTTGTAATTAATTTGTAATTAATTATAAACATGGCAGTTTTGGACCTTTTCCACCAGTGTCTTTGACTGATTGCTTACTAGTGACTTGGATCTTGATTTTATTAATGCAGCAAAAGCCCCAAAAAATTGATTGCACGATAACTTTAAAAGCAAAGGTTTAAAAAGCTTAAGCGAAAACTATGATGTCATTGTGTTATATGACCTACAGGATACCAACACATGGCTTTGTGTAAAGTTAGCTAGTATTCTAAAAACTGACGTTTTGAAAGTACAAATTGATGTGTGACACCCTTTACAGGTTTTCTGTTGGCTGTGCCATCCAGGCTGATCTTGTGCTGATCAGACTCCAACAGACATCGTTATTACATATTGGAATGGACATTTTACCACCTAGATATAACAATTTGTTACATTCTCTAATTTCTACTCATTCAGATGCTACATTATGCTGTTTTGGGGCCAGAGGAAGAGTCATTTTGAACCCACATGACTTTTGTTATCGCATCATATTTGTCAGCGTACCTACGAACCACAACAGTTTTACACGATTTCAATCTCCTCATCTTGTACAATGTTCTCACAGCTCACCCCTATTCTCACCAGACGAGATAGCTAATAGTGCGTCAAAATGAAAAACCTGATGATGACCTCCGTTGAGTCTGTAAATAAAATTCAAGTCTTAAGTATTTTAACTGAAACCATTAATTAGGAACTAACGGGTTAGGGTTAGAGTATGAAAGTGTAATAAATATTGAAATGATCTATTATCTGTTTTTTATTATCGTTTTTTTAGGCTGTCAAAGTAAGAAGGAAGGTGCTTCTTAAATGCTTTTGGGAAACAGTTTCCATGGCATTTGGAGTTTTCAGTTGATAACACTTTCTGACAGCCTTTTGATGCAAAGTCAGAGATCAAGCTTATATTAAAGTTAATTGTTTTGATCTGGAGTATGAGGATTCCTTTATTTCATAATTGAAAAATGTCTTTATTAGCAACTAAATCAGTCTGGTGCAACAATGAACTTCAAAAGATATTATACATTGATCATGAAAATTATTTTTTTCTTTGTGATCTAAAAGCTAAGATTTGTGCTTTTCAAAATGAAAGGTTGGATTCTATCAGCTCAACACTGATGAAGACCCGTCTGAGAAGAAGAGTGGCCAGGCTGGGGATGTGATGCAGATGTCCTCCATGTCAGTGTAGTTTGAAGCCACCTCATTTGCATATGCAAATGAGCCAAACACTTCCTCCTCTCTCCAGTATGGGAAGTGTATGAAGAGGGAAGCTGTTGTCATGTTTTCTGCTGCTTCTCTGAAGCTCAGCTGAACTGTGATCTCACCATGTTTCTCTAATGCAAAATGGCTCTTCTGATCTTTGTGCTCGCTCTTAACGGTCTAGATGAATTGCATTCTAAACATTTAAATGCATTGGGAAGGTTTACAGTTCATCGTCTGTTATTGGTGTCCAAAGATACTATGACCTCTGATTAGAATGTAAAATTTGACGCTTCTGGTCATCAAAAATCAAAATGGTCAAAAGCAACTCTGCTCTGGATTCCTTCTGAGTCGTAAATATGTGATGACTGCTGCCCATTGCCAAGAGTTTGCTGGATCCAGCTCAAAACTGTGAGAATTACTGAAAGCCTTCTGTTGTATCTGTTTTTTTTATGCACGCAGTAATACAGGAAAAAGACATATCTTTGATGCTTCGGTGGGTGCTTCTTTGCTCGCAACAAATTTGTTTTTAAAAAGTTTATTTGTTGGTTTTTATGCGAAAAATTAAATAGTACAGAATTGATCAATTAAACATGTATTTCTGCATCCAAAAAAAAACATTATTTATTTACTTATATATTAACCCGAATGCCCCACAGTCTGAAATTATCTTGTTACCTACTGCACAGTTCTGATGTGTGTCTAATTTCCTGACAAATTTCAGACTTTACAGGTGATCATCGTGGCATCCTTTGACATTTAGCGCCACCATGTGGTAGAGTCCTGACTTGCATGAACAAAGTAATGATATCGATGACGTAGAATTTAATGTACACCATAAAGATGTTTCGGGAACGGACCATTAAAGGTGCATTAACCTTAAAACTTGTGAGGATGTAATAATGGTGTTCTTGGCTCTAAATCTGCATGAGTCATGGAGCAAAACAGCAGCTGAAAGATATTCACCAAAGAATGCTTAGTTAGTGTTTATGAATGGCCAGATCGCAGCTCTGTGTGTGATCCAACAGCGTCCCAGACTGAAAAAACTATAATAACAAAGATTATTAGGGGAGTAAAAAGGTGGATTTTTATGCCGGCTGAGATTTTGTATGAACAGTGTTTGGGTAGCTACTACCAGCTTTTTGACTTTTAAATGATAACTGCTTCTAACTTGTCTTGAGGGTTAAAAGCTTGGTCTAATGGGACCTAAATGTGCCACTGCTTTTTGTAATTTTCCAGAGTGTAAGCCTTCTACAGCATACTTATTGGTTATATTCCAGAAAATGCCAACACAGTCTGGACTCTTTGGGGGCAAATGCGTGTCAGAAAATGATGGATTGTGTTCTCTGCTCCATACTTTTTCAGCCAGCTCATGATGAATCATCATGTTGTCGTCTTGGGATATATTTAGAAAAATCAATTGATTTAAAAACTTTGTCATTCACTTTTTTCAGGTAGTTTGTTGGCCTCATATCTTGGGCAGTTAATGCTGCTTAACCCTGAGCTGACTTGCAGAAGCAAATCTGGTTTATCAAACACAGCTTGTGCATCTGGGTATTTGATTTCAAGCATTCTTGTCCTCTCGTGACCCTCCAAAAGTAATATTGTAATAAAATATTGAGATATGAGCAGTTTTATTCACATTATAAATCTGAAAGCCTCTTCTGTGTCTGGTGTCTGTGGGAAATAGATAAGGCTCACTTTTATTTGCACATTAAAAGTGAACATTATATTTGCAGATGTCTTGATTAGATCTACTTGAGGTCCATAACCAGCAGGAGAACAATGCAAAGGTGCTTGGTGACCGAGAAGTGTTGTCAAAGTCACTGTAAAAATTATCATTACAAGATTGTAAAGGAAGAGGTGAATAAAAACAGATGGAGTCCTAATTTAGTCCTGTAGATGGCACTAAATAAGTCATTTGTTGGAGAGTGCCCACAGCTTGAAGAGTTCTGTAGGCCATGGTAGATATTCATCAGAGATAAATCCATAATATTTAGAGTGGAAATAATTCAGTGTTTCAACCTTCATTTGAGTGTTTCAGGCAAGAAGATGGTTCAAGAAGATGCTGTCATTTGACAATCTCATGTTTGTGTTTCAGAAGCAGGATGACAAGAAAGGAGCTCTCAAAATATGTCATGGACAAAGTCCTTCTCTGGTCACATGACACAAAAACTGAAATTTCAGGGCATAAAAACAAATGTTGCATCTGTTAAAAACTGAGTTTCTGAAACTTGGTTATGGCGACACCATACTGTGAGGAGGTGGTCAGGCTAGAAAACATGAGGGATGGTTTTAATTACTAGCCAAATGCCTGGGAAGATATGTCTCACTGTTCCAGTCAATTTAGCCTTGGACCCAGACATTAACATTGTTGTCACCTTCTGAGCACATCCAGCTTTGGAGTGGTTTATTGATTAAATAAATCCATTTTTATTCTAAATTGCAAGGCAACAAAACAGCAGAAGTGCTAAAAGCAGTCGATACTTTTTAAGGCATTGTGACGCCGTAAAAAACGTGAAGGAAGACATGAGGACGCTTGGCAATCACACAACTGTTTTTCTGTGATCTTGGACTGCAAACAAAAATGCGCCTCGTGTCAGCAATTAACATTAGAAAGTTAAGACCACAGAGAGGGCTAAAAATAGAACCAGATAGTGCTGCAGTAAGCAGTCGAGCTTCAGCTACACTTTTTCTGCCTCACCTACTCCTACACAAGCGCACCTCACGGCTTCCTGTTCGCCACCGCAGCTTTCCATTGAGGCAGGCCTTCGCTGACAGCTTCAGTCAGGTGAGAGGCAACAACAGAAAAGTGTCAGAGCTACGTGAGAAGAATGGGTTTGCGCGAATGGCTTTGTACTAATCACAA